CTTAAACAATTTTGTCTCAATAGATAAAACAAAAATGTAAAATTCTCTAAAACATCTTTTTTTTTTGCTCCTAATAGTTAAAGGGTGTCGGTCTAACGTTCGGTACCTATCTACTTTAACGTGCGGTCTACAATGGAGTCTGCAGTCTTAGCATTACTTCAGTAATTACTATATTGTTTCAGTCTACATCAACCTTGTTGTTTCAACGAACTGAAGAGCCGTTTACCAGATGAAGAAATGAAAAAATTAAGTTTTAATTTATATATTTACAGTTTAGAGAGGTACAGAGATAAGAAAGAAAATGAAATATTACACATATACAGTTATTTTTTTTAACCTTATTTTTTCATTCATCATATCCTTAAGGAAAAAGGTAATTAAAAGGGAAAGTAACTCCAAAGAAAATAACAAAGATAACACTCAACATTATACGGACATAAATAAAATAAAATAAAATTCTATTTCCTTATGGAGACCAACTCGGAAGTAACCGGGAGATGCACAGGACGTTCAAAGCAAACCTTGGTAGACTAGTTCAACATGTGCAGCGAAGTGTGCTCCAGTATCATGTCAGTCCAACGAAGAGGACACCTTGTGGGTCGTGGGACCCCTAGATGGCCTTGTGCAAATTGACGAGTCCCGATTTGCTGGTCGTCGTCAGAAGGTTCCGACGCTGCTGTAGACAACAATCGGAAGTCGGAACCACGGAAGGGGAGTAGATGAACCTTGGGTATTCGGTTTAAGCACCAGCAATGAAGTGCGATACTTTGTTGTACAGAGAAGGGACCAAGCCACATTAATTTCGATAATCGAAAGGGAAGTTGCAGTGGGGTCCGTTATTTATTCCGACAAGTGGCCAGCATACCGCCAACTGCAGGAACTTTTATTTCTTCATCTGGCAAACGGCTATTCAATTCGTTGAAACAACAAGGTTGATGGAGACTGAATGTTATAGTAATTGCTTAGGTAATGATTAGATCAAAGAGGGGTACTCTTTGATTAAACTGCACACTCCATTGTAGATCGCACGTTAAAGTACCTATATACCGAACGGTAGACCGCACGTTAGACCAGCACGGTTAGTTGTAGAAAATTTGATGCTTACGGGGTTGTGGTGTTAATTTTTACCCCCAAGATAGATTTAGCATTTAGCCTTAGCCGTGGTGGTGCAACGTTATTAATTTGGTTCATGAAGTTTGTTTTTCCAGCATACATTAGCAGTTACCAATTAACCTGGGACTGAAAACTTGTGATGCGTATAACGCATATTTATGGGAAGTCGCATAGGTTCACAAAGAAAATTAGTTTTTGCACCCACTTTTAGTAGACATTCCATGTGAACTTTGAATGCCCTTTTAAACGAGACATGCCACATATTTTCTGTATGACCTGAACCTGATCATCAAACATCGGACTCTCCATTATCACAACTTGCGCAATAGTTTATCGAACGCGCGTTTCCGTTTTATTATACTTGATTGGTATTTCACCATCAGCGCCAAGGCCAAGCTTATTAAATGAAACGCATCTTTTCATTGAAAAAACCTCAGGACAAGGAGTTGATCGGCCTTTGGAACTTCATTGTGGTATTCCCATGCCCCAACGCCAATATTTTTAAATCATCTCCAAAACTGTAAAACTTTCTTTTAATATTCTTCTCGGTACCATTAAGCCATTAAATCGATAACAAATCGAATAAAAATAAAACACATAATTATACACTTTTAGGGATTTCCGTCGTTATCCTTGACTAATCTGTTTCAATGCACAGCACGCGTCTATTTCATATGTATTGAAACTAGGTACTGTACCGTATTGAGTATTTAGTTTATTTATCGTGCTATCGCAACAAAAAATCCATAAGAAAACATGTCTATTTATTTACTTGGAGCTTTTCAACTGTAACCCAATCAATAAGTATCAAAAATATGGAAAACCCCGCGATGTTGTGTAATGTTGATACATAGAAGCAAAGAGTATTACTCTCTGATAGAAGTTAGCGATCCGGTTTATAAAAAGTAATGAGGTTAACTCACGTAATATCAGGGCGGATTACCTACTCTTTCATAATCCACAGCGTACTATAATAATTGACCCACATTATCAAAACCTACGTTATTCGTTTATTTTTTGGCACAACACATTTTGCTCCATACATTTTTTGTCCAGAATAAAATGATTTGGCCAGAATTAAACATACTGTAAGAGTACAAAGAACATGTACATCAAACATTTCTTTATGAATTATCTACTGAATTCCTAAAATTTTAATTTTACCATGTTAGGTAGAGCAGAAAGAAAAAAGTTTGGAACCAGATCTATTCAAATTTGAAATCTACTATGTATGTCACAATAGAAAAATACTCTAGACCATTTCTTCTATAAGGAGCAATATTGACAGGCGAATGTGATCGTTTCGCCATTATCATTACTATGTTAATATGGCTTGTTTACAAGACAATACTTTATAGATAATTGAACTTTTTATCAACGTCGATACATCACATCCTGTGAAAGCATGAAAGAAGAGTACCTAGTCCTATGCATTTCTCTGCCCATTGTAACGAGTGGTTTTATTTCGCGCCAAATTTCATTAAAAAATTCGAAATTCCTTGTCATGATAGTGCAGGTCACCCTGTATATTTCATTATTTGTTTCGGTTAGAAATTTTGTGTTTGGGCATTTCGGTTCGCTCAAGACTATGGTCCGATAGATTTAATTTCGCTCAGATTTAATTTCGTCGTGGGAAGAGTGCAAAGCTGATTGACGTCATCATGAGTAATGCGAGTTTTTTGTCGTTCGTTTATCAACTTTGGCGCCGTCTAGACCGAGAATAGGAGCGGATATAGCACCGAGCCATCAAGAGATAAGGAGTTTTCACGTCGTCAGCAGAAAACCGTGAGATCAGTTTATTCAGCAGTTCCTGGAGGTTGACGACGAAGTTAGAGTGGGTTAAGTCTTCTTTATCTAAACCAATGGGAGAATTTCTAGCGGGAGCCATTTTTGTTTTATGGTAATTTGGGTGTGGTTTTTTCATTTCAATTCTGAAGAAGGGGATCGTTTTTGGGGAGACTCGCGGTTAGTACGTCAAGCGGTCAACACGTACCTTGAGCGATCGTTTTGGTACACTTGGCGGTTTGAGCCACCGGCTTATTTCGGTTGCTCCCAGTTGCGTGCTTTTTGCACCCGTTCCGAAGTGTTATTTTCTTTTCGCGTTGATTTTTTGGCGAAGAAGACCCAGTTCCAATCAGGTGATATTTTGGCGAACCCTTGAGCTTCACCCCAGTTTACTTTGGATGCAGTGAATCGCGTTAGGATACGTTGTGATTTCTCGAGGATATATAATTCAAAGTGCTGCCCTAGTCCTCAAGGCGCAGAATTTCGGGATCCGCCCCAGGTGGAATTTCCTACTAGTGCCGTACGGTCATTTGTCGAAGGAGCGCTGCGTTTCGGAGAGATATTTGCCCCAAGAAGAGCTGGTGAAATAATACGTCGAACCATCGCGGTTTACCGTCGGATAGTGATCATAAAAGTTTGTGTTCTGCCGTACCGCTAACTCAAAAAATCCGTCTCCCGCAGGCGATCAAAGCTAATAAACTAATAAAATAAAATTAAATACACGTGCTGTGTAGAAACTTTGGCAACTAGCCGTCTCCCACTCGCCACGCGAAGGATTTCCTGGACTAAGTTTCCGTTCAAACACTAAACTTTGCTTTCGTTCCGAGGAAGGATAGGCACCGTGGATTTTTGTTTCCGTGTGTTAAATTCAAGCCACCCCCTAGGAAGTCACAGAGACCTAAGTGTCAGGTTTCATCACATCCACCCTGTACCAGAGGAAAGAGCAGTTCACAAGATCGGCTGTACAAATGTTGTAAAGGTTAGTCTAATTAAATTTGTAACATTCTGTAAAATTCCACTTTTTGGTAATTAAGCTATCGTAATAGTACATTATATATCAAGGTAGAGAAGTCCACTATTATTGCCTGAGCACCAAGATTACATCTCGAGGCGCTTGCGCCGAGGGGTGTAAGGTGCGAAGGCAATAAGAGACTTCTCTACCGTGGTATATATACTATTTTTTTCACTACTAGCACTTGAAATCCTCTAAATTAACATATTATATTGATAAGAGAGTTAACGGTTGGACAGAATTTTTGTTTATTAATTTAACACGTCAATCAAGTACGTGGAAGTACAAGTCAAATAGGCCGTATTTTGTTCTGTCATTGAGATTTTTCAAAGAGTAATTTCGTTCGAATTTTTTCAAAATGTGATAATTTTAGGTATGTAATTTCTCTGGAAATTGCGAATGGTGGCAATTATTCGTTTTAGAGAACTTGTCTAAACGTTCATTGAGCGAAATTTCGGGTTGTGTTTTCTAAAAGTGACAGCGTGACAGTTCTCATTATTGACTACTAGTTAATAATAAAAAATTATTAACCACTTTGAACAAATGCCGAGAAAGCCTACTTTACAAGTGGAAAAAAGGTTAATAATCATGTCATCAGACGCTAGTAGTGAAAAAAAATTTTTGAGTTGATTGTTTATTAAAGTCCAATGAACGATTACCAAAGAGTAGGATAAATTTTTGTGGTTATTTAAATAAGTCCCAGCCCACGCTGGATTAAAAACGATTACCTGTTGTTGCAATTTTCAAACTGTAGAGGATGGCCACCCCTTGAGTAAATTAGTTTCACCTGTTAGGATTTTTTTAGTTAGTAGTTGTCATTGTTAAGCTAGTGTTTTTACAAGGAGAAGAGAAGAACTGCTAGATCCCTGTAAATTGTTTGTATCGCTAATCTCATTTCAATATATTATCTATTTGGTGTCAATGTGCCTATGTCTTTAACGAAGAACGAGGGGAAGGAAAGGGAGGAGTAGGAGTTGAGGCAGGAGACTGGTAGGCGGCAGGTTAAGGTTTGTTACGCAGTTTCAAAAGAGTTAAAAGCCCACCGATTTGAGTTAGCCGAAGCATTTATTTTTATCGATTGAGCAGCCTAAGAAGAAGACGGTTTGCCTTGCCGGGCGGAACCGATGGTAATCTTCAAATCCAGAAGGAACCCCCGTAGCACCATATTGCACTAAGAATTTCATGTCCTGATATCCATCGATTCTTTTTACCAGTAATGAGAGATGGAGGTGCATGGATGACTTTCATGTTGAAATAATTCAGATAGGCAGGGCTACAAATGTCTGCTCTGACAGGAAAGTACGATCTTCCTTCATTAATTTTGTTACCGCTTGATCTGGAAACTTCAACATATGTGCTTCTTGATGTATCCTTCGTCAGCTCCATTTCCTAATTCCTTCACAAATGATTTAAACTGTTCTTTGCCTGTATTGTAGATAATTATTACAAATCCTGACAGCACAATCAGGTATGGCAATCTCTTCAGTATCCAACACCAGTATGCAGTATTACATTTGTGAATCTAGCAACTTCTTTGAGTTCATCATTCTGTTCATAACGACTAGTCTTACTTATCAGTTCTTTAGTACCAACTGCATCCTCATATTCAACAAGTCGACAAATTTAATTTTAAGGCAGCAACCATCCATCGTCTTAATGCTGATGGAATCTCAGATATACCAATTACTCCTTCATCATCTTTGATAATCTTATTTTGTTCCTGAGCTTGATCAATTGACAGACAGACATGGAATGAATATCTTAAGAAACCAAAATTTAATTTAAATCGGCAGCATTTCCAAATAAATCTGCAAGTTTATATGAGCATTCATACCCAACATTTATCTGCATTTATCTGCCCCACTATGAGCTTTCTACGGTCCTTCTTGAACTTTTTTGGGATTTTCCAGGGCATTATGTATTCTTTCCGAGAGCTTTCGATGTGCATCCAGGGTTTTCTAGACTTTTATGGTTCGAGGTAGTGCCCAGAAGATTCTTTAGAGCTTTAAAAAAAGACGAAGAAATGCACGTTACATTTTATGGAAAGCGCTAAAAGCTTTGCAAGCTTTAGGTAGCAATCAAAGCCTCCCAGACATTTATTATAACTGTAAAATTCCTTTCAAAAGCCCTCTAGTGTCAGTGAAGGACCGTATAAACGGATAGACCCCTTTCAGAACTCCTTAAGAGAGCTAAGCACAGCTTTCGATGCGCGTTTCATTCCTAATTTCTATAGCACATTGCCAGAGAGTTTTAGTTCATTTCGAGATATAATGTAATGTACTACAACATACAAACGATTTGGTATAGTTCGGGAAAGGATATTCGCACGGAATCATAAGAGCTGTAAACCCTGGACATTTTGCGATAATGAAATTTCAGATGTTTCAGAATTTCTTAAATTCAAACGATTTAGGCCATTCAGTAGATACTCAGTGTTAACAAAGAAATGTTTTTTTACTGCAAAATGAAGGAAAGCATAACTAAAAACTGTAAAGTACGTCAGGATGCAATTATATAAATTACGCACACTCATTCCATTTTATTTGATGCAGTACAATGCAATGCTTGTAATTTGGTAAAACAATATTGTTCAATTATGCATGTGACCCTGATGATGTTATTTTCAATTACCGAAATAACATTAGTTTATGACCGTATAGAAATTGAATAAAATATTTCAATAGGAACTAGAAATTTTTGTCAGTAAATTACATCGGGAGGAGCTACATTCAACAGGCAGCAGGATGGATGAAACTTTGAAGGATAATCTCAATACTATAAGACCTTTGATATTGCTAACAAATGCGTTTGGATTACAATTTATCAGTGTGTATAAATCAAAATCCTTCGACTACATCTGTTACCTGTTTTGGTTAAGCGCCCATTTAAGCTTCTTGTTATACAACGTGAAACTTATATGGCAAGAGGAAGATTCCACGGATAACGGCTATTGGATACTTTTCCTAAGCCTTACATGTGCAAATAATATCTTTTTGATATCCGTTACTCTTTACCAACAACAAAGCGTCATGACCATCATAAAAGACTTTTCCGAAGTAGATGATGCCTTAAAACGCCTTAATATCAAAATTAATCATCCGAAAATAAAGAAAACGGTTACCCAGATGATCGCGATTGGTGTAATGATAAAAGGATGCAAAGCGCTATGTTATCTATTTGTAAAAGAATTTGGAATCTGGAAAAGAATGTCGATAGTGATTGGTTCCATTCTCAAAGGAGTGTATTTCACAGGTTCTGCTTTATGCGTGGTGGCTGGTCATTATATATCTAAAATGACTAGTATTGGATTGTCCAGAAAGAACCTTGAGGGATTAGAAATCACCCATCTGCGTATGCTCTACTCTAAAATGCAAAATGTAATAAATATAATCCACAGGATTTCCGAATTAGCTATTCTCACTGGTGTGGTTTACTCAATATGTCATACTTGCCTTTCTGTACAACATCTATACATTGATATGAAAGAAGCAAGCTCTAACAATTACACAAACCCTATAGGTGTCGTGTTACATGCCACGTGCGTTATCTTGGAAGCCGTGGATGGGTTGATTATAGCTCAACAATTCACGTACGTAATAAAAAAGGTTAGTTACTTTCTCTTAGTTTATAATTGTGAACATTTTGTTTAGGCAAACCGTTTTGCTGCTTCAATACATGGTGGACGAACGACGTTTAGAAATGCCCAGGATGAATTCAATGTAAGCACAGTATGAGTACTCTTGTAAACTAAAGATATTTTGTGGGGGGTGCATTGGGAGATTTGCTAAATTATTATCAATGGTATGTAGCGCATTCACGTTAATATAGGAAATAACATCGTCTAACTAGTAACAAAAGGTCTCTCATGGAGACTAACGGGTAATTATAACATTTTAACATACAGGGTGACAATTTGAAAACTTACCACCCCCCATATCTTAGTAAATAAACGAGATATTTAAAAAAATCAAAATCCGTTTCGGTAATTCGGAGGGGGAATCACAATGACATAGTTGCGGCGACGCACCCCCTCCAACCCCCTGCGCCCCAGCCACCACAACTTTTAAATCTTAAATAGTGACCCCCCATGTGTGATACGTCGTTGGAAAGCTCTGAAAAAATGCTTTCCAACCATACCAAATAGCATTACATTTAGGTTAGTAATTATCGTGCAAATCAAAAAATAAACATGGAAAATCGTATTTAACTTGAACTTCCAAAGCCGACTCGACAGCAACTCATTTTTGATCGCCAGTTATAATCTATTCTCAAACTCTTGTCGAACCTTTTCAAATGTTGGTTTTGCAATATTTCGACATTCTTGAATTATTCTCTGTCTTAGTTCGTCTATGTTCGCCGGTTGCGTTTTAAATACGACAGATTTCAAATGTATCATATTAGTTTATTTTTTGATTTGCACGATAATTACTAACCTAATTGTAATGCTATTTGGTATGGTTGGAAAGCATTTTTTCAGACCTTTCCAACGACGTATCACACATGGGGGGTCACTATTTAAGATTTAAAAGTTGGGGTGGCTGGGGCGCAGGGGGTTGGAGGGGGTGCGTCGCCAACTATGTCATTGTGATATTGTGATTCCCCCTCCGAATTACCGAAACGGATTTTGATTTTTTTAAATATCTCGTTTATTTACTAAGATATGGGGGGTGGTAAGTTTTCAAATTGTCACCCTGTATATTATTTGCAAATTTTATCAAAATATGTAATGAGTTGCACCTACTAGCTCAATCGAATGGAAATTATTCGAACTTACCTTATGGACTCTCTGCGGTATCAAAACTAATTCGTTATGCTCATTTTAGCGCATGATGAAAGGTACGATGTAGTAGAAAAAACATGTTAAAAAACGTAACTTTTGAAAACGTTAAGTTAGCCCCCACCCCCCCGCTTTTTAAAATTTTTCTATGGCTTAACCGTAATGGCGCTAGCTTTAATTCAAGTGGCGCAATTGAGCGCATAACCAGATGTATGGAGTGGCACAAATACCGGTAGCAAAATGCGTTATGGGGGTTCCGTTCACTTGGCCCCTCCCAAATATATTTAAGGATAACCAAAAAACAAGAATGGCGCAAAGATATCTTTTTACGGCGCATTTCAGCGCATACCTGAGAGTACAATTTCGTATGAAAAGATGTTAAAAAAAGTAACTTTTAAAAACGTTAAGTTGGCCCCCCCACTTTTTGAAAATTTGTCACGGCTTAACCATAATGGCGCTAGCTTTAATTCAAGTGGCGCAATTGAGCGCATAACCAAATGTATCAGGTGACCTAGTTACAAGGGACAAAATACGTACTGGGGGGGGCTACGTTCACTTGCCCCCCCCCCCAATGTTTTTTCGGATTTCTAAAAAACGATAATGGCGCAAGAGTTATTATCGGTGGCGCATATGAGCGCATAACGAGCGCATTCATTTTAACATAATACGACTATCAAATCTCTCAGTGGGGGGGCCAAGTTAACGGACCCTAGAAATTTGTCTAAAGACTTCTTAGGTCAAAGTTCGTATGGGGGGTATGTGAAATCCAGAAATGAACAATGACTTTCAAGAAGTAGATCCTTATTGAATTGAGTTTTTCTTAAGTCAAGATGCGTCGTCATTGATAAATAAATTAATTGCTTGTAGATAAGCGTTCATGAGCACGCCCGAAGCTCGTAATAAACACGTCGCTCAAATTTATTATAGGAAATTCACACGTAGGTATGCCGCTCTCCTGAAAATGCAATAACGATTACGATGTCATTTAACCACAAGATTTGAATTTCAACTCGTTCGCAATCCTTTTAGCTCCCCGTCTTTCGGCACTTGCATATAGTTAGAACAGAGTTCTTGTAAATCCTTATATCTGAAACGAAATATTTTGTGGACACTTACAATTCCCCCAAGTTTAAAATATTAGGTAAGATTGTCAATCACTTTCGAAAAGTAATTTATGCATCCAACAATCAACAAACTGCTATGATATAGTTTTGGTTTCAGGTTCAAAGTAGCTCTTTAGGACTTCTCCATGAAAAACTGTATTTTGACTGCATGGGTCTTTTCCCTCTAAACACCACCTTAATTTATTCGGTAATTATTTTCTTAAGTCTGTAAAGATGCATAACTTATGCTATTGTTTACAGGCCATTGGAACTACAATAACATTTATAATATTCGTCGTGAAGAATGATTTGAACTTGTAGACGAAAAACAAACTGGAAACATTGCGTTCATAGTAAATTTTGCACAGTTAATGCACGAATCCACCTACACTCAAGTGGATATGACAAAGCATTACAATTTTTCACGAAGTTATCGAAGTGGCAGATCCAACTAGGGCACATAGTCCCTAAAGAATTTTGCAGTAATTTAATGCACAATGGTTTTGTATTATTATATTCTGACAATCGAACATAATGTAATTTAATTACTTAATTTTCTGTGTGAAATGTAAAAAAAATAAAATTACGCAAGTTTGATCGATTATCATGTTTCAATCACAATGTAGAATTTTGGAAAATTTGATTAAATTCGATACAGTGGATGTAAATCGTTCCCAAAATAACGTCATTTGATTTTTGGTTTCGGCATGTTTCAGAGTCCTTAAGGATGGTTTAGTTTTAGACTATTAATTATATAACGATCGCCAAATAGGTTCTTAATGATAATAAACAAAAACCGTTTTTGCAGTTTCAGTGTGTAATAATTAGGAAATTAAAGAACAGAACAAAAATGACATGTCTTAGTGCTCGTATTTTTGGACAATTCTCGGTAAGAGTACTTCATCCTTCATGTCTCTTTGCATTAGAAACCCATCACTGCGCCACTGTTCGATTCATTATTCAGCTCCACTCAAATTCCGTTCCCTTAGTCTTTTCAAATTCATTGTTTTTTTTGCATCCTCTCTATTCTTCAGTTTTAGATCCTTTAACTTTGTGCCATGCCAATTCTTCAGATTTCTTTTCATATTTCCCAGTTCGGCCTGTTTTTCTAATGCGATTCGTCCACCTCCGCGAACCTTTTCCATTCTTCAATTTTTTAATATGCTGCATTACATTTTCCACAGGCATTAAGAAAATAAGAAATAACAATGTAACGTTGATTTTTCTTCTGAAAATAGTTATTTACATAAAAGTCAGGAAGGTGACACATTACTGGCGAGGAAATAAATATAATTTCCGAGCATGAATGGAACCAGTTTGTAAACGTTGAGTCAGGTTTTTAAGTGAAATTGTACTAATTTGAAAGTGAATTGAATTTATCCAGCCGTTTTTGAGACTTGAAAAACCCCATAATCCTATCCTACCTGGAAGACCTTATTCTTAAGAACTCGAGGCTGCCTTCAATTAGGTTGAACGCGCAATTACACTCGTGCAACTTTATTTACGACAACCCGTCGACACTCCCTTACGTTGGTGATGCCTTAAAACAGCCTTAATTCGTGGCACTGACTTTGATGTATCCTGCTTTCATAAATGACGATTCATTATTTTTTTTTTCTTACTATTTGTGGCCTACCTAATCTCACAGAGTGGACGTAACATCCTTCAATGTGAATATGGCGCTTTAAGTTTCACTTATCGATCGTTGATAAATTGCACTGTTCACAATTAAACACTTTGGCAATATTACTGGTTAGACGAGGATTCTTGTACCTTATCGTTGGTTTCATAAATGCACGGATCACATTTAAATTCTTTGAAGTAACGTTATAAAATGTGATGTTTTAAACTACCCTTGCTTTTTATAGTGTAATTACCTACATTGAGTGTAATTGAAATTTTACAGCCGTAAAAACTACAATATTGATAACTTTTGGCCATTGTAAATAAACAAAATAGTGATCTTATCCCACCAATAGTAATTACTATGTGCTGCCAGCAGAGGTCCCACTGTTAATCGAATATCCAATAGTTTGGGCGTGAGAACTTTGGTTTCATCGTTAATACCGACCCTGTTTATCTAATAGAAATGATAATTATTATCTGGTGCATTGCTGTTACCTACTCTTGTTTATTTCACAAAATTATTCATTGTCTATGAAAGTATGAATTTTGACCGTTGGAACTCATTAGCGTCTCGTCACATTTTTCGTACAGCGATAATTTAAAGAGTCATTTGTCATAAGTTTGATTAACAGATGTGACTTCGTGGATTTCCGAAGCATAACGTATGCTAAATTTAACTTCTCGTAGAAAGTGTTTAATTTTGTACACCAAAAAGTGGGGTCACTTCGGTATACTTGGATAAGTTCCCATAATCTTGTTTCATTGATATTTCTCTTAATTTTTTCAACCTGCACGTGCAACCTTGAGGTAGTAATCTAGGCTTTTTGAAAAAGAGTCGGTTTATATTATCTATACTTATGTAACACATTGTAATAGTACACAAACAAAATGTTAATAGCAATGCAAGTAATAATTTAGAGTAGGTGTGCAAATTCCGGAAAGTGGAGTCTGTTAAGACATGGACATATGGATAGACGGATTCTGGGGAAAACATGCTAAAAATGTCACCGTAACAATCTATACAAGTTACAAAAAATATACCTATTATATAACTTTGAAAATGTATCAAGAAGAGTAATTGAGGAATGAAGTTAAACAAATGTATAAGCCACGGCAAAGCAAAATTTGTTTTACATTGTTGCAAATTGTGTGATGAATGATGGTTATGTATTGGGCCATTCCTCCGGCATTATTTGCAAATTAATGCAAATAAACCTTGATTCGTCGAAAAACTACATTGAGAAATATCTAAATCTGAATTGCGAGAAGGTATACCTATGTCGATTTTATTTGGATACAATGGGTGCTAAAAATAATAACTTAAACAAATCCAGAAATTGTGCTTTTAATGTTTTAATATTTAATAAATTGTTACTCATATCATCGGATAAACACAAGCCGTTCGCGGTTCGGGACAAGCAGTTCCTCCGAAAAGCGCATCACAAATTAACAACAAAAGCAGAATAATAATAGGCATATCCTTGAAGATACAAAGGACTACTTAAATATAAATAAAATGAGGGTACGTTAAACTCAATTTATCGGAAGCAAGAGTGTTGGCAACGTTTGCAGCGGCAACAGGTTATTCATCGCATCATTACAAAGTAGAAGTAGGTTATTCCATACGCCTAATATTTATTTACAATGATTAACTTTTTCTATTTCAGAAGTAGACGCAGTTCGACGCCAGCCAAGCGGCGGTGTATCACAATTTAGAGAAGCTTGTTTCATTAACCATGCATCATTAGCAGGTGGGATTAGGCCAATTTCTGGACAGTTTACAAGTAATCCCAGTTAGTCTTCTCCCGGAATCGTTTGGAAATCTTTTCGGTCAAACTTATATTTTTGTCTTAACAGTTACAATATTTTTAAATTTCTTCAAAGTTTACGTCTTTCTAAATTAATTAGATCTCATTGCTTATATTATATTAATATAGAAGAAGTGAGAAAATCTGGGCTATCTTATGAAAATGAGGCAAACGAATAAATAATAAACGTACAGGAAATGCAAGAATAAATTTATATATGGAAGGAATACAAGCAAGGTACAAGTGGATATTGAATACCAAACTTCATCGTAGGAGAAGAGACAAAATGGAGAAGAAATAATAATGATAGGACGCAGAGCAGTAAAATAATATGGAATGATGTTTAGATAAACACAAAGGAAAAATTGTGGGAACAAAGAAAAAACATTTACGATACGGATGGGATATGGCACAGACAAGGGGAAAAAGAGAAGAAAGTATGGAGTTTCCTAATTCGTAAGGTACTATAGAACAACTTAAGACCTTCTGCAGGGGCACCTCTAAAAAGCATGATGCGGGTCCCTCTGTAATTCGGCACAAGTCTATTGAGGGCTTAGAACAAGGGAGGGACAGTAAATAAATAATAAAACAAGAACCGAGGAACCAAGGGTTACAATTTTAACAACAGAGGGAGAAAATTTGGAATACACGAGGGAACAAAAGATACAAGAAGCTGATAGCAGAGTGGGTGCCGAAATTAAAAGATGGGAGAATATAAAAATAGCTGCGAGGCTCAGTTGTGGATATGAGGAGAGGGGAAATGGAAAATGAAGAGAAGGTGAAGAAAGAAAATCAGAAAATGTATGCTGTGTAAAGATTAAGAGGAGAAAGATCATTTAATGCGGGAGTATTCGAGGGAGTATTAGTAAAACGAAGAAAAGCAAAACAGATAAATATTAAACAGAGCGAAGGGGAAAGAACTGGAAGGAGCAGATTATAGAAAAAAATGGAAACAAAGAAAAAAGGGAAATTCAACGAAAGGTTAGGAAAAGAGTTAATTAATGAGTGGTTGGTAATGCTAATGAATATTCTTTACTGTAAGGTTGTTCTCCCCAGACTTATACCAAATTTAAAGAATTCAGTGGTACTTATAGTGCGGAGATAAAGGAGAATAACGTGAACAATAATGTTAAAAAAGTTTATAATAGAAATTATTCGGCGTCGGGATATGACGACCCCATCGCCCATCGCCTTTTGGTGGTGCAATCAGTCAATTTCATGTCAGTAAGTGTCTTCAATCAAATGAATAAAAAGCAAAAAATGAAAAAAAAAAGGTTTTCGCCGTAAGGTGAGTAACTTTAGCGCATTTTCCATGAATATAATGTACTATTTATGCGCACAATGGACATATGTATGTATTCTTATAAATAAGAAATTTGCCATTGCGCAGTCTACGCCTGCGCACACATGATCGCAATATATTTGCCTTTACTAGGAGAATCTCCATTTAAAATTTCAAAAAAATATCTCTACAAATAAAATCGGATACTTCAGAAACTAGCACCTACTCCGAATTTTTCAGCAGCTGCTTCAGGTGGCGAAAACTTCCACGCCACATTTTACCAGAGCTTAATATTTTCAAATAAATAGAAGTAACACGGTGATAAATAAGCCAATTTGTCTTTCATTCGAAAGTTTTGTTTTTATTGTTGTTTTGCTTCATTTTAATATACCCAAACAGTCATGGAGTTACATTTTTCAATATATGTGAAATATTAAATAATCGAAATAAAAGTTTTCGTTGATACGCCCTTTTATTAATTTTGAAGTAAAAAATCGCACACGTAAATTTTGCTTTTGCATAAGGTTTCATCCATTAAAAGACAGAGAACACGTGCGTTTTAGTTTCCAGTGGTGGAGTGCGTATTTTTTTAAACCATTACCTAGACCTACAGCTTAGGAAAATTATTAGGTACCAAAGCTAGAGCTCTTTATACATAAACATTTAAAGGCCGTCTGGCACACATCACAATCCGTTCTACCACTATGAAGAATTCTTAAATAGTGCCATCTGTGCTAAGGTGTGATAACTCTGTTTAAAGTATTTTATGTAGTTTGTCATTTCATATAGTGTTCATGTTTTTTTTTTACTTTACATAACTTTTATATTTATATATCATTTTGACAATTTTAAGTA